GCCAAGAGGTTAGTTTGCTCCTAAGAGAGAACATGGATGTAAGCCATGCCAAGATTGGCTCCTTCTGCCAAGGGCGCTCCAACATCATTCCAGCATGCTATGTGTCCTCAGATGCCTTCACACCATGCCCAATGGCAAACTATCATGCCTCTAGCTTCGAGTTTCAAGAATAGCATTGCTGTGGGCTGTACTATTTTTGGTGCTTCAGAACTGAAGAACCACACACACATATAAAAAAAACCCAAAGAATATGTCAGGGCCAAAGAAACATTCCATGAGCCAAAGGCAATGCAGTGTGGTCACAATATATGTGCTCCAGATGGTGCCAGGACATTCCCCGTCATAGTACACAAAGACAGTATAGACAAAGCCTTTATAAGAGACAGGGAGAGAAGCCAATCAACAAAATAAATCATGAAACACATCAAAGGGAGAGAGAAAAAACTATGAGGAAGGAAGTATGGAAGAAAATAATTATGTTTAGTTTCTTCAGATTAGTCTTCCTGGAATAGTTTAGAAACCAGAATAATTATCTGTTCACAATGACACAACCTTGAAGGCAGCCAATAATAGTTCTAGACACCGTATTTACCAATAGGTAATGAAGTCCCACCTAATCATAAAGATCATGAAATGTTCATAAATTGCTACTGAGGAAACCCAATACCCTGAGAGAAAAATGGCAAATATTTAATTGTAAATTAAATATTAGGAGTCTAATTACCTGTAAGGAAATTATAAAGAAAACACTATAAAAGAAAATGGAAGACTAGAGTAGCCAAAGAAGGAGAACTTTAAAATATGTCTCTACAGAAATACTTAACAATTTGTCATGCAACTGAATATCAAGAATTTATGTGGCTCATATAAATGTGCATGCCTTTCTTCCAGTGTATTTTAAGGCATTTTATTCCATAGAATCAATTTTCGAGGTTACCCCAAATCCCAAACAGATGGAAGATAATGAGGAAAAAACAAAGTCAAAGCATAATTAAAATTTTCAACACACTTCTAGGGATGAACCATTTGTCAAGTTGCACTCTTGACAGAGAATTCACAAGACACAGGAAGCCATTTCTCCCCTACTGTTTACAGCATAACTAATACCAACAATACTCATGTAAATAACATATTGGGGTCAAAATATCCCAACATCAAGCCTGGACATAAAAAGTCATATTTATAGATAAATGCCTTATAGAAATATTATTTTATTATAAAGTAATTTCATAGTTTAGAAATGTTAGATATTTCTGGTGCTTAGATTTGAATTTATTATAAATCATTGACCTAAGATACACTATGATAATATAAGCTGGGTGAGAATATTTAGTTTGCATACCTTTACAGAAATATTACCACTGCCTTCAAATGAGCTTCACTGTAAAATAACAATGCACTGAACACCACGAAGTCTCTGTACAAACACAGGAATATCTCTTCACAAGGAAGTTTGCACTTTCATTACTAACTCCTTTAAATTCAATCCACTGTTACTTTTTATTAGTATTGGTTTTCAGTCCTTCATTTAGTTTTCAAGCTACTGAAGAATGCTTATCTCCAACCAAAGGAAAGTACCTTACCAACTATAACATACCCCCCATACAATAACTAAAACTGCAGAGTCTCTTTCATAAAATGACTTGTTGATTTTTTTAGAGACATAAGTCTGTGCAGTATAGTCTCTTCCCAACCAATGTTTTGATTTTACTATTTATATAATACTCCAATGATCGGTGTCATATTCTTGCCATTTTCTACATACACACTTTTAATTCCTTCAAAAACAGACACCTTTCTCTTTCTTGTGTTTCATAATGCTTCTCTCTATGCAATGACTCTTCCAATATTATTTCCAAAAGTTCAGTAAGCTTAGTAACTAGCTCCTTAAAGGCACTAACATGCATATTCAGATTTTGCAAGTGACTCCTTCCTCAATGTAAGACAGTTTCAATCACTTTTTAATCATGCATTTTTCTATTTTTGCTTTTCCCCCTCATCAATTTAAAAAGCAAAGCATACTTGATTTAGTCTGCTTTTAATTAAAGGGTCTCTTTCCTTATAGGTTTTTCTGATAATATAAGAAGTACCTTCCAGCACTCTTGGCTCTTCCTACACTATCCTCCTACTCTTATGTTCTCTACAGAAAATGCATGTCTAGTTCTATAGATTTTTCTTGCATACTTTGCATTGTCAGTGTCTTCTGGAAGTCTTTCTTTACCCCAGACATTTTTTAGCAATTATACATAAAGCACAGGCTGCACTTAACATATTTTAATGTATGATATATTTTTTTATTTTTTACATATGGAGTTGAAACAGTTTGTTATCTATAAACAATGAATCCTAATTTTGTATTATCAATATTTCCACCCTGGTCATAAAAAGTAAATGCTCTTTGATAGGTACAGTGGTTTCTAATCATTATCAGAAGAAAAGCAAGAATTACAGGAAATAAACTGAAGTATCTTAGGAAGAGAGGACAACCCTGCTGAGCTGCTGGTTAGAAGAAAACCCAACAAACAGACCAGCAGCAATAGAGACTCTACTCTGAAGGTGTTTGGACTAAGAGGTCACAAAATATACACAACAACTTGTCTCTGGCAAAATACAAACCCTCAAATTATGGCAAAAGGAAAACAGAATAAAAAATCAAGTGATGTATCACCTTTTCAACTTGTGAAGTCCTCTGAAAGTACACATTTGTTATCCACTATGTGACACCGCAGAATGACTGTCACTCATCTTAACCATGCATTTATTAAAAAAAAATAAAAATCTTGTTGTCTTTGTGTATCCTTACTCAGGAATAAGACAAGCTTTCATAAATTTCATTGTAATTATTACTTGTAAATACTTGTCATAAGCAAAGCTACTCTTTCAGTCAATCCAAAGAGGTATTAACACTTGATAAAAATTTTACTAATCCTTCCTCTAGCTCCAACTATGTATATACAGTCATAATTTCCACTTTTGACTCCTGCTTGATTTTGATCTTTCTTATTATTCATACATTTGCCTGTGTGCACAGACACTGGTCTATATTTTAAGGAATTGTAGTTGAACCTGACCAAATGATCTTTGAGCCTGGAAGAATACATCAGCTGCTTAGTTTTCACCAGAAGAGATATTGGGATGCTCTGCTAATTTTAGAACTTTATTTTGAAGATTAAATAATATGTGTATTCATCTACTAAGTCATCTGTGTTTCTTCATCAGTGACTAGTACTGTAAAGAAACTGAAAGGTCTTTATCTTTTCCTTGTCAAAGTTACCTTCTTAAAAATATCATATAAGAGAAACTAGATCACTGTTCATCACTCTTGTCTCTGATGTGCATGTGGAGCACTTACAATGTCCAAGCTATTTTTAGATTACCCTTCTCTGCTAACACCTTGCACATCCTTCTCAAAGTACTAAGGCTGCCTGCATCTCTGTTTAGTCACTTATTTTCTTCTGATTAGAGATGAGTCATACAAACTGGAACTAGCCTGTTGTTTGTTTGTTTGTTTTGGGTTTTGTTGTGTTTGTGTTGTTTTTTTTTAAAAAGAAACAACAACAAAAACAACAAACCAATTACCCTTCAGTTACCAAGAGCAGTACCTCCTTTTCTAGTATCTGTCTAATTACTTATTTTCTCAATCTTGTTTGTAACTATAGGATTTGTCTTACCTAACTTTACCCAGCTGCAGGTAATTTACAACATCCTAAAACAGGCAGCTCTTATAAGAGTGGGATTAAACCCCAGGTAGACATGCCTGTTTCCCTTTTTTTTTACATATAAAAAGAGCATAAAAAGCTAACAAACTCAATTAATATATGGCCTAGAGCAAATAATTTGAAATGTTACAATGGAAAGTGTACAGCATAAGTTTGCTCACTTGTCTCCCTGGAGACATGATACAAATATACATACTACTTTAAAGCATTCTGAAAGTCAAGTGCAGCCTCAGAAATGAAATTCCCTAAAACCCAATCACCCTCTCAAGCCCACTTGGAACTCTCTATCTCTGGGAAGATGCTTTTTGATTTGATGGTGCATTTTTCTTTGCTGTTGGAGCTAGGTACACTCTAATTCATTTGAGACATAATACTTTATTTTCTCCTCTATATTGTTCACTATGTTTGGAGAACTCAAACTGTCAAACTTCTTCCTCTTATGAAGACAGTTTTGCCTGTCACTTCTACCCCAGAGCTTTCAAACTCTGTCAGTGGACCATATTTATAATGATTTTCACTTTGTTAGCCACCTGTGCTGTTTATAACTTTCCTGTTTTGTGTTCTCTGGCCTCATTATCAGTTCATTGTTTCTGGCAATTGAAGAGTTGCTAACTGGTTACTTTTGCTCTTTTAAATTATTCATATTGATTACTTTGATAAATGTGACTTACATGTTGGCCTGGAAATGCAGACAAGGCAGAGAAGCACAAAACTCAGTTTTTATTTCAGTAGCTACTCTAAAATATCTTACAAGGTATTTTAATATTGTACACCTTTTAACATATTGCAAGCTCCACAGAACAAAAAATACATATTTCTCTATGTATACAGTACCTAATACATTTTGAGTAATATTTTAATACTAATTACTAATTAGGCATCGGTGCTAATCTTCTCATGTCTTACTTGTTGAAGCAACTTAACACTTCCATTTCAGGTTTGTCTTTGCTTTCTGGAAAGGAGTTCTCCACTCACCTATCACATTTTCCTAAATAATTAAATTATTTACAGATTGTATTGCCCTTTTTCTCCTTAACTATTAGATCTATTTCTTGCATTTGGACCAACTCTGAAGTGCTAAACTCAGTCCAAGTATTATAAATATTGCATATTTCCTACAGATGCTCGTACAAAACAAACACAGGGTAAGACCTCAATTCAATGGATTAAACCTCAGTTTAGGATCTTTACATGGTCAGTTTTGTATTTTTTTTTTATAATTAGACAATTAGTAACACAGAAGTGCATGTAACTAGTGCTTTTTTTTAATGGATCACTTACTTTGTAATACGGTCAATGTTAGCAATTTGCTTCTGGTTCCGGATTATTTCTATAGCTGCCCAAAGATGCTGGATAGCCTTTGTGTCTGCCTGTCGCCTCTTCGTTAAGCGTGCCATGACCTGTTTACCTGGTCAGCTGCAGCCAATAAATAAAAATAAAAATACACCAGAATGTTATTAATGAATTATGAAATGGATTATATTATGATCATATTGCAAAAAATACGACTACAAAGCAAATGTTGTTACCCTATGGCAATTCAATTTGTTTACAGTAGCACGTTTTCTTACACAGAAAGAGCATTAAGGAGCTAAAAATGTAGTTAACAAGAACCCCTTTCACACCACACAATCTATACAGAAGACAAAAGTTCAACAGAAAAATTATCAAATCAGTAGCAAACAACTTAATTTATGAAACCAGAAAGCAGAAGCTCTCCTGGTCTGAAGCCTCCACATCCTCCTGCACTACCTGAAACCCTTAAAAAAGGTGAGTGGTGCTTCCCTACATCACACAGTGCAAGCATGAACTCTGATACAGGGAAAAGCTGGACACACAGTTTATTACACAATATAGTACTGAGAGTATTACTTTCATATTTTTTATGATTTACAACTATTTAAAAAATCCATTCTATGTCCACAAACTATTTTCATGTATGATAAATACTTTAAAAAAATATTTTGGAGCAATTCCATCTCCTGTGTCATGCTAAAACCCAACAAGACCAAAGTGCTTCTGATGGCATTTACCCATCTAACCAACCCTGAACAGGAACATAATGAGCATCTGGCTTTGTTTACAAATTTTCCAAAAGCTCGAGGCAATGAGTACAGATAAGCCATAAATTGCCTACAGCTCTACTACAGGCACAGAATCCCTTTTTAAAAGCTTAACGATGCATTTTGATCACTAAATAACCTTCTTCTAGTGCCACCACTTTCTCAATGAAAAAAAAATGACTGATTTATGACTGTTACCAAGGTCTACAATTTATTTTAGAGCTCTGTCCTCAAAATGAACTCTCTGGTATGCACATGTATACTAGTAACTAGCAGAATATTAACTTCAGGAACCCAAAATAATATAAAAACTGCAAAAACATTACACCATCTGTGCAATGTTAAGGATGGCAATTTAAGTATTAAAAGTGTCCCTCCTCTCAAATTCACAAAAATTACACAGATTTGAGTATTCCATCAGTTGCAGCAATGCAATTTTCAAGTCCATAGGTCCTGCAGGTACTTGTCAAAGAGGACTGTCAAGTTTCAGATGTGATACTAGCTCAGCAACACTCGCTCTACGGGTGTAATGAAATAAAGTGCAGTACTATTACTAACGAGAAGAAATTATTTAACAGCATTATACTAAACATTACATAGTCCATATAAAAGAAATAGAAAAAAGATTTTGTGAATTGATATGTGCATGTTCAGATGCAATTGTATTTTGTGCATGAGGCACCCCTGGCTTCTGGAGATAGCAGGAAAGGGCAGAAGAAGAGCGGGGCTTACTGAGACACAGTGTGGTCACACAGACTCCACATTTCTGCTTTAGAAATCTGTTCCCACTGGGATTCAAAGCAAGGGCAACTGGATGGCTCTCCCAGAAAAGAAAGGCCAATAATACATTTCTGAGAGAAGGATAAGAGGGGATGTGACAGACATACAGCTAAGAGTGACTGCCAGCAGATAGCATCACCAAAGAATTATTCAGAGACAAAAAGCCTCTGTTGGGAATAGTGGGCAAAGACCCTGCATCCCTGTGAAATCCTTTGCATTCATTTCATGGAACACCAGGACAAGTAAAAAAACCCAGGGATGCAGGGCTGATTTGTAAGAGAAACATATGATTATTTGTAGAATTTAATTATTAAGGAAAACAGACCTGTAAAACACAAAGAAGGGTTAGATACTAACATGTCAATCTTTACAGCCCTACTATCTTAGCATAAAACTCCTTTCCTAATATATAACTGACTAAAAGTGACATAATTATTTTTATTCTAGCTCTCTACAAAGTATCTGCTTTCAAAGCCGTGAGCCAATACAGTAGTTGACAGTCTGGACAGTCTCTTACACAGTATCATGTCTACATGTGAGGATCAAGGAGAAAACACTCTTCCTTCTTGACCCTGATAACAGTGAAAAAACAGACCAGTTCTCAGTTTATTTTGTAATAAATGAAGCGGGTCCTGTTATTCCAACTACTTTGAAAATAACTGTTATTTTAGGCAGGCTGGCATATGGCTGGCTGTGTCAGAGTCACACTCAGCCTGGCAGAGGGGGAAGGACGTGGATTTCTCTCACGCCCCTGCAACACACTGGCCAAGGGCCCCGGCTTAGAGCAGGGCCCTGGGGAACCCATCTGCTGCCCCACCCCATGGACCCGCTGTGCAGCTGAAGAAAAGGCTGACCTTTCAGGCTAAGGACTTCCCTGTTGTGTCTCCAGGTCAGGAGAAGAGGCCCATGTCTGAGACAGGGAGAGAGTGAAGGATCACTGTAATTATAAGTTCCTGAAGCCCTGTGGTTGCAGAAGTGCACCTAAGATGCCCACTATGGGCAGAGGGAGGCCTCGCCCTGCAAAGGCTTCGCCTTTCCTTTGGACTGCTCTTTTGGAACAAATTTTCTGACCACCCCCCTGCCCTGTCCTTGCCATGCTTTGTTGGCTTGGAACATGCAAACACTATGCCTTGTGCCAGAGCTAACTTCAACCCACGGCATGGGCATGCACCTCCCAGGCCTTGGGCACTAGAGGGAGGTGATTCCCTGGGGCCAGGACTGGACCTACTCTGCAGCAACCCCCCTGAAAATGCAACCAAGGCAGATGTCAGTCTGAACTGCTCCCTGTGGGCTCCCTGCTTCCCATCACTGCTCACACAGACACAGCCATGGCTCTTCCACCCTGTTTGTCTGGAAAGAAAAGCAGTAAGAATTCTTATACAAGAGACACAGCAATCACACATTTTTTTCTGGTTTTGTTTTTGTTGTTTGGGTTTTTTTTAAGATACAATACTTTTAGCAGGTGTTCTGCCTTCAAAGAATGTATGTTTCATTCTTATAACTTCTGTTTACTATTTAAGGGCACTTTTGTTAAACATAAGGCTTGACACTCCACTACTGAAACAGCAGTTCTTAAAACACACACTTCCAAAAATACAAAAACATATTTATTTTTTTTTCCCAAAAAACCCAGCCAACCTTAGCATTATTTTCATCTCTTAATTGCATGGTGTAGAAGAAATACAAAAGAGCCTTTTGTGTTAAAGATTAAAGGATTGTGGCATATTTCTTGCTGTTCATTACACTGTCACACTTCCTTCATGGTAAAACTAACAACAATGGTTTACTCCTCGCACTCCCACAAAAATTTAAGCAGTTTTCTACATTATTATAAAATCTGAAAGACAACTTGCATCAGACTGTTAATGGTGTATAAAATGCTTTGGAGTGCTACTTCCAAGCAACAGAGAATGCTTTAATGTTAAATGTTAAAAGTTTAATGGAAGACATATTGCATTCTTAAATCTGTATTTATCACTCCTGATTATTTGCTTATGTGTGAGTGCACAGATACACACAAGAGAACAAGCATAAACATCCAGTGCTTTTGAGTATGTAAAAGAATCTATGGCTTAGAGGTTAAATACCGAAGAGGCTGATTCATCCATGCACTGTTTTAAAGAAGTTAGAACTCTCAAGATTCTTTAAAAACACAATACTGAAATGTACATTTACATATAAATGCTTGAAGGTTTTTCAAGATATCCTCTTCTGCTACAGCATTCATTTAAATATCCTGGAAAGAAAAGCTGTGTTAAACATTAATTTCCTGCTTGTGATTTGGCTGCCATCATGGTTGCTTAGCTATGGTACCCACTGTCCACACCAAATTATTTGCTACATGCCATTTCTGTCATGTTCTGCCAGCAAGATTATGGTAGGACGCAGCAAACAAAAGATGCATAAAAATCTAACAGTTTGTATCAGCAGGATGTGTCTTTTTTTCTCATAGAATCAAAGCAAACAATTTATCTTCTCAATTTTCAACTCTCTAACTTTTCCTCAGTGCAACCTGAGTGAAGTTTCATGCTATTTTTTATTTCAAATCCCTCTTGAATGTCCTATACACAACATTTCAAAAAACACACCACTTTATTGTACATAACTTTCCTAAGGAGCTAAAAGTTACCCACATTTCTTACAAGCAGGCTCAACAAACCTGCACTTCACCTTGTGGAAACACAGAGCAAGGCTTATCTTCTCAAAACCCATAGCAAAGTGTGCATTGCTATGTGGTAGGAATCTCACAGCAGTGGCAAACCAGACTTCCAGTCAAAACAGCAAGGCTGCTAGTCATTAGACACATGCTTGGTCAAATCAAATGCTGTACAACTAACTCTCTGTTGCAATAGCAGTGGATATGGAAATCTGCACTACAAGTCAAAATAAACAAAAATCACCTTGCAGCATGTCTAGGGATTAAGTTCAAGGAACCTCCTGATCTGTTGCTTGCACCCAATTTAGCAAATACTATCAGGTACTAAGTTTAGCTAGAAACTCTCCCTGAAGACAGAAACAACTGACAGGTAGTTTACTATTTCCATGCTTTAGCTGTTAAATACCATTGTCCAAGCAAAATATGATGCTTCTGAAAATGTAACTAATGAATTGGACTCTGGACTGAAGCAGACGGTGTTGCAGTTGGGTGCTGCTGCTCTGATGGGAGCTGCTAATTAAGAGCTGACAAGTAGTAGCTTGTTACATCTTATGTTGGTGCTTCACTGTAAGTGAGGCTACCTGTGGTGCTCGTCCCTTTCAGTGCAAAGTCAAACAGGTTATCCTTCATCCCTGCTATTAGCCACCATTTGGCTGAGATTTGGTATGCAGTTAATTGCAATGGAAAGACAGTGTAAGAATTTGATCCTTGCCATGCTCAGCTGCTAGTTCTGCCTTTCAGCCCTGCATCCCTGGGGCTTAGTATTATTTCTCCCACACTACACAGTGAAAAGATTCCAGGCTCAACAGGAGGAAGAAGTTAGGTTTAGTGCTAGATTGGGTAGCTTTCATGCTGCGAGACTGGCTGAGTTTGGGCGGTGAGGAAACTTGAACACAGC